CCCGAATAGATTTTCTGATGCGTACGTGGTATGTCACGGAACGTGGTGTGTCATAGGACATTAAAGAATTCAGACTTGACATAAAAAAGCTGCAGGTACTACAGACGGAAACCTCTCTTTTTGAAAAAACTAAAATAATATCTTATTTATATCTGAAAAAGGATAGTATAGAAAAAATATTCTCTGTCAATTTTCTTTTGTACTTTGTAGACGCGTGTATGGAATTTACACCTTTTTAAAGAGCATTATATCGATTTTTTTTACATAAAATCCTTCTCAACGAAATGTAAGTTTCCGATGATTCACCTACAACCCCTTTTTGCATCGAATCTTTTATCAGAGGTGAATAAAATTTCATTAAACAGTGCTGCGATGAATTATTGCGCAAAGGTTTAAATTAAAGAGCCTCGTCGTCCCGTATAAAAGCCCGAAAATATGATAACAATAGATACTTAATCCTTGAATCGTGCAGGAATGCTCGTTTAAAGCTAATCAATGGGAAATGAGCTGTTAAAAATGGACAGCTGGTCTACAATAACGTAAATTAAAGTGTCGTACTCCGTGATCAATGTAATGTAAATCCTACGTATTTATATGTAAATTAAAAGCTAGTATCGCCTTGCGGAATATCTCCTTCGAAGTAATCGACCGAAATGAAGCACTGAGAGTGATATAGAGACCCAAGTCACAATTTTCAATGAAAAGTTAACAAAATAACTTCTATCGGGGAATGTTCTCTAGCTACTTCTGTGACTATCCAAGCGACGGAACAAAGGAACGTGCAAAATGTTAGGACATTGTTTCTAATGAGTGTGTAATCTCGTAAACGTATTCGAGCAATTCGATCTATGGCATCGCAATGAGCAAAAGTTAGAGCGAATCACTTATATATTAGAATATATATAGACTATCCATTCTTGTCCTAGAATTCTCTTCGTGGCTTAGGTCTATATAAATTTCAACGCTTCAAATAATAAATACACGAAAAGGCGCTCTGTACCGCCAGAACCCGCCGTGAGTTTTCACAAACTGAGACGCATATACATATTACCGCGAAACTTTATTTGGAATGGTATAATGCATCTGTTACGATCATCGGGCATACACACGTGTACATATGTACATGTATACACAAATTGCTTCTGATTCACGGATCTCCCCGAGAAAGAGAGGCCGCGGGCTCGCGTAACGTCGTGGTCGTCGTTGCCGCGACGCTGTCGAGGAAAGGAAAGAATGAGGAAGAGGAAATGATAAACACCGGAAGAGCGGCCTTATACCGAAACGAAAGCGTATGTGTGTATGTGTCTTTAAGCGTTAACCCGAGCTGCAAAACGTATAGGCGAATCCAAAGAAGTTCATAAAGGGATCCACCTTGTGAGCTTGACTATCTAATCTTTGAAATCGAACATTAACATTCGGTATCTTTCAATTCCTGGCTGTTTTTCTTTCCTCTCATTTTACCCTTTTGATGAAACGATTTTAAATAAATAAAAAAAAGAATAAGATCTTTTTGCTCAAAAATATAAAGTCTGCAGTCAAATCAAGTTTCTCTTTAAGATGTTAATCCTCAACTACAGCGTGAAAACTACACCTTAGTTTTAACGAGTTCTGTTTAAAATATAGAATGCACATAGATCTCTGCCGTAAGGCAATTTTAATAGAGAGAAATTTAATGTTTTTGTTAGAACTTACCATTTAGAATCTCATAATATCAATATACAGCCTTCTAAAATTTTTGCTTCGAGTTTAAATAATCTATTGCTGTCAAGGATTAACCATCAAAACAATCAAAATAACTAGTTTGTAACTTTTATCACATTAAATTTTTTATTAGCTTTTTTAAGACTTTTGTTGTAATATCTAAGCAATTAAATTAATCAATTTACTTTCTTCTTTTATCTTCTTTTTAAAGATATATAAATAGTAAATTTAAATAGAAAGTAAAAATAGATATGGCGATTCAAAACGTCGATACCGAAAGATCCAAAGAACGAGCCATGTGAATTTCAAGGTCCGATATTCGAGATTAAACGTCCAATCTCGCTAAGACGAATCCCCCATGAGACGGATTTCCATTTCAATTCGTCCACTTCTTCGACGATGACGAATTTGAACCGCTCGCTCAAATCGTACCGGAGTAGCTCTCGCTCGGCCAGACGTAGTATAGATGATGTCGGCGTGCATACGCCTGCTGGAGCTGTGCCTCGGACGCCCGCGACGATCCCTGCGGTCCCTGGTGACCTCGTAGATCGGCGTCGGTATCCGGCTCTGGCTATACTATGGTACCACCGCCTTCTACCGGACTGACCACATGGAGAGCGGCACCGCTGACCTGGCTGATTCCTGGCTGAAATTAGAGACAACGCGAACCACATCGTTGATACACGGCGATACGAATAACGCGCTTCCGATCATCTAAGTCATCTAATAAAAACACGCGTTATTCCCAAAAAGCATCTCGTGCGCATCCTTTACCATCCCAAGCCAGAGCTTTATTTTTTATGGACATTTATGACAATTGAATGAGCAAAGAGCTATAGAAAGAATTTTAATAATTCAATTTTTAATAGTTAAAAATTTTATGTTAATAATCCAATTGCTTAGAATATTTGATTTTTATATTTGATTAAGATAAATAACTTATGCCTCCATTAAGATCAGGAATTTATATCTTCATTCAATGGGGTGTTAAACACGTGACTCATGAATAGTTTAAGTTTAAACGGTCCGAACATGTATAATTCTCTTTTTCCTGTCTTGCGAAAACTTTTCGGGAATAATGCAGATCTGGCAAGAGAGAGTGCGTGAGAGCAAAAAGATATAGTGCAAATCGTGATATAAAATTCAGAAGCGCCGTCGAGAAATATCTCGACAAGAACGTGTGTAAATGATTTCGAGCGTGTACACTATTCTACTTCCATGACAAGTCCGATCAAGCGATAAATAAAGCAAAATAGAACGGAAAATGATAAGTCATACGTACCATGCGATAACTCAGGGAAGTCTCATCCACGATATTCTCTTGCATCAGCCAAAGCGTGGTACAGAACATTAATCTTTCCGATCAATCAAAAGTGAGAAAAAGGAATTAATGCTTTATCGGCCTTGAGAAATAAGCGCAAGCATCATCCGATTAAAAATTATAAAAGACGCGCTATTTAAAATTATAAGTCGCGCTATTAAAATTATAAATCACACTAGAAAAAGAAGCAACGCACGCTGTAATGAATTTCATCGCGAAATAACTCCGTAATTAGTTAAGTATTTTTCACAGCGTTAGCCAAAAGCGTGAAAGACTCGCTTTCATTAAATTGTATACAGCACAATGTTCTCAACATAATACAGTAAATTAACAGCAGTGATTAAAACATTCTTTGTACACTCGATAATTGTGTTATGGTATATTTGTAATTCCACTTCGCAAACGTTGGCTAGCGTTTAACTGATCGCAATTTAACGAGGCTGTCCCGGATACTTTTGGTCAAGGCTGTTAAATGAAAAGGTGAGAGTGTGGGATATTCTCGTGATACAAATGCTCTATGCAAAACGCCCAGGAAACACTATTCGAGTCCTAATATCGGGACCTATAATGTAAAAAAGAAAGAAAAGAAAAAAAGACATGCGATGTTCTTGGCAAACTGTAAATAAACATCGTCTTACATGTGTCATCATACATATGTATATACGTATGCATATGTACGTGTCGCATAAAAGACTCCCCCGGCCGTTCTCCCTGGAGCTTCTGCATTGCACTTGATTGAACAAAATTTCAACAAGCGGGAAGCAAGCAGCGATCGTTCATTCAAATTTTCGCTTTATTGTACAACAAGGCAAAATTCATCGTTTTCAACAAAGGATTAAGTGTTTCTCGCATCATAAGTTTGAGAGACGACAGTTTGGCTAAATAATTCTTTTTCGTTGACTTCTCTATTAATGATCGGCTAAAGCTAAATAACACTTTACAGAGAAGAAAGTTTTTTTTTTAATAAAGGGGCCTGCCCTGTCACGAAACCTCATAGGGTTCAAACAACATTGCTCTCAAGGATGCAAACCAAAAAACATAAATATATCGGTAGTCAATCTCTATCCTATATAGCTCGCGTAATTCTGCAATATTCATCGCGAGAATATATCTTGACCAGACCATCATTAGGCACAGATATCAACGACAGCCTATACTATGAATGAACTTTAAGCATATAGTGTGAGTAGTTTTTTTTTATTTGCAGCGCATGCACTAACCAAGTTATAGAATTGATAACATCTAAATAGGAGATAAATTAAAGTTCCTCCGTTCTTCGCAAAAAAAAAATCATATTAATCAAAACTATATTAATACATCCGAAAAAAAAAGATATTACAATGTATGTGCGCGCTCTACACTACTTCACTTGAAATGTCTATGTTCATGCATTTTGAGTAATAGATTTGTATTCGAAAATGTTGCGATTTCTCTGATCTAGTCCGGGAAGCATCCCGGAAAGATTGTCCGAAAGATATTCATAGTACGTAGAAAAATATAAAAATATATCTAATAATATAAAAAAGATGCCTTGTGATTCAAAATTGCCCGAAAAAAAAAAACATATATATTTTAAATCACAAATTTGTTCACTCATAGTATCGTCCGTCTATGTACTTCTGTAATCATATACACAATATAAACTTAGAGAAAAATACTAAAAAAAAGTCCTCAATGCTTTTTCTATGATGGCACCTCCCAATACTAGCAGAATTTAAACGCAATTATTAACATACCCTAAGGTCGTAAATTTAAATGCGAATAAGGACTCTCTAAGATTAAATATACTGATTGTAATATATAAAACTTAAATAACGGCGACGCGATCGTCATATCAAATACCCGGCAAGATAATACCGAATTCGTCCGTATTTCTTGTTCTAATACTTCCAAACCAAAACAATCACTTGTCTGGAAGATGTCATTCCGTCACCACAAAGGCAAGGGAAGACTATCCAAAAGCATTACAAGATTTTCCTGTGCCACTTTTATCACGATAACATCATTCTAGATTCTAACTCTACGTATATATGTACAGAATTCGCGGATCTTCCGATCAACAGACTCTACTCGATAGACTCGCTAAATAACGATTTGGAAATAACGGGTTACATCAGAGGTCGTTACATCGCATGGAATTGATATTACTAGTGTAAGGGTTGTTGCTATGATGGTGTGATGGCCTGTGCAGGGTGCTGCTTATCGTGAGAGGACCTACCATGTGGCCGGGCCTCGCCCACGTGTACACGTATCCATCCTGACACGCCGTCACGAAGCAATCTTCCCTAAATACTAATTCAGTCAGTCTCTCGTGCGCCAGCTTCTTGCACACCAGCGGCTCGAGGACCGGACACTCGTCGAACCTGGGACACCAGGCGGTCCCTATCAACCTCATGGGATCGTCCATCACGGAACTAACCTTTTTACTTCCCGTCCCACCTACTAAACTCCCACCGACACTGTTATTCAAACTACTACTCGTCGTACTCGTTGAATTGCCGGTGCTCGCCTTGTCGCCACCATTGTTTTGCACAACTGTCGTTGTGCTGTTGTTGATCGTCGTCGCTGTTGCACCTGTGCCGCTACCTCGCATAGTGAGGCTAAAGTTTCTCTTGTGATTATCACCCTTACGTTCGCCGAAGCCAAGACCCGCTAGCCTCTGCGTCAGCGAATTCACGGTCGCTACCGCGGCATTCGTGCTGCTGCTATTACTAGTCTCGTTATTACCACTCGCGTTCTCCTTGAAGTTTACATTATTTGAATTATTATGTTTAGCATTCGAATTTGAATGATGATTCGCCGTTGTCGCCGCTCCGTTGCCACTATTAAACGTGCCCGAGGACGACAAGGTACCGCCACTGGTGCTGCACGCCGCAGAGGGTCTTTGCTTGGCACACACCGGTTGCCTCAATACATCCTCCGTGATGTCCCATAGGCACAGTTGGGTGTCCTGCGATACACTGCCTAACCTGTAGCACGTGCCGCCCGACATTCTCAATTCAGAGCTACAGGAATTGCGATTCGAGTGAACGCCGCTTTGCGAAGTCGTGGATAGACGGTGCGACTTCTCATGGAAGTGATTATGATTGTTGTGCGACATCGTCGTCTCGTCATCCGAACCGCTAAAGTCGGGATCGTGATCACCGTAGGATGTTGTGTATGGATCAAAGGCAACCACGCTCACCCAACTATGATGGCCTTGCCCCCGCGCCACAACCCGCTTCTCGTGGAAGCTCCAAATAGTCACCAGATCGTCCTCGCCGCCTACTACCACGTAACGTCCGTCCGGTGACCAGCACACACATAAAAAGCCACCAAAGTAGCTCCTTGCCGAGCCAACCAGTTCCATAGTGTTGTATTGAAAAACACGCAGAAACCCATCCTGTGATACCACGGCTAAGTTCGTGCCACACGGACTAAAGGCGAATTCATTTATACAACATCCTTCCGCGCCTATTACCCATCGGTACAATGGGTTCCTGGTGGATTTGGTTTTGCAGGTATATATGGCGTATCCGTCACCCGACTTGAATGACTGATAGTGCGGCGCAGTGGTGCCGCAAAGCAGCTCTTCGTTATAGAGGTACAGCTGACCGGAACTATGAGAGACCAGAAATAGGTTGTTCGAGCCGGGAACCCACTTTATACATGTCACCTTGCTCTTGTCTATCAACCTCTGAAATGTAAACATTCTTATTAAAGATAACAAAAATATTCTCATGTTAAAATAAAGCAAAATTAATAATAGTGCCACAAAAAACTTTTTACACTTTATTAATCTTATCCAAAATTATCTATTAAGTTTTATAAAAAAATATTTAATAAAAATTAATTTATCTGAAATAGCACTTCTCTTATTTTGTAGCGATATAAAGCTTACTAAAAAATAAATTTTTATATTATTATCTTAATGTTTCGATTGATAAACAAAGATAAAAAGGAAATAATACTGGTGATTTGAAGATAATCTTAGAGACTTAGACATTATTGAAGTATTAAAAATGTTTTACAAAAAGCGTGACTGTGTATGCGTATAATGAATTATCCGACATTCATTGAGGCCAAAATGTATTTAAAATAGGCAGCACGTTGTTCCATTAAGGCTTGTTTCTATCACAAGAAGACAGCGGAAAGTTATGTAATGTTGCTTGTTGAGCTTAATTATTTGATTGAGATATAATTGCATTAGTGCGTGGTCCTATCGGCGCATAGAATAGCCCAGATAATGCGCTGCTAAATATTAAGTCAGTCATTGCAGGATGCAGCGGATAGCACAAAGTATCCTGAATCAGCATTTATTTTCCAGTTTATCATATTTCAATAAGATAACACAGACATATCATCAAGAATGAATAAGTGTTGACAGCTATTATACACATTACCAGAAAACTACAATTGATATTAGCTGCATAGAGAATATTGTTTGAACAAAGAGATTATTTATCTCCGTACGTAAGCTAACAGATAATACAAGAAATGATTCTCTCTAGCAAATGCAAATGCAGATGAGAAGTTTTCCTTGAGGTTCATGTAACCGATAGAAATTTGTGTCAATAGAAATTTCATGCTAAATTTGCTTTTACATACGTCTTCATTGTACAATTTGCTGAGTTGAGAACTGTCCTTCTTTATCGGATCGATCAGTTGTATCTGCCCCGTGGAAAATCCCACCAGCAAAGGAGCACTATCAGCAGTTGCTGTTGTTTGATTAAAATTGTGGCAGGTCGGATTAGTTCCTTTGTATAACTTTTTGTCCACTGGTTTATTCAAGTCTACAGCCTGAAATATTTCAACACTGTCATGTCGAGTTTCTTCAACCAAATCCTTTCAGTTGACAAATAATTTACTTTCTAGTGCACAAAAATTTGAAACAACTATATATACAATAAATTATTTAAACTATATTGGATATGTTTATTTTTGTATCACGTTCCAAAATAACTTTCTCACTTTAATCAAACATACACTTATTTTTCACATTAGGTCTGTTTTTTATTCGTGCACTATAAAACTTTCTTTCTTGCTTTCACCGAATATCAGATATATATCTATCTTACTTTAAATTTCAAAGTGTATGCCATTCAACCATAGAAAACAATTTAAATTTCAAAAAGATATACTATTTCAGCTATAGAAAACATACCTATCTGGAGACACGGTAGTGTCTCGGCGCTAAGCCAAGCGCGCGACACTGCCGTGCCTCCTTTACGCGAAACTGATTTTCTTATCTCGAAAACTTTTCAGAGCTGACTTCAAATATCTACGAAAGCTTATAGTTTTTGAAGGAAATGTTAATAAATTAATTCTGTCGATTTTTATTTCTTACATATAAATTAACGATTCCATCAATAAATACTAATTGTGAGAATTAAGATAGCAGTATCATACTATTTAGATATATGATTACTAAATATTTCTGAGAAATGTCAGCGCGAATGATTGCCGTCAGTTCTGTCGTTGACGAGTAAAAAAAAAAGAGGGGAAAAAAGGAGTGGAGAAAGGCAGCAACGAGGGCAGCAACGATTCGACGACGCGAGTCGACCCCAGAAAAAGCTCTCAACGTCGCGTTCGTCGTCGCGGAGGACGAGGCACGGCAAAACCGAGCCAGTCCGCAAAAATGGAGGTCTCTCGACATTTGCGAGGTTAGGTCGCAACCGACAACGGCTTGAGTATATACATCGGAACACGTCGCCATCGTCGCACGGGGTTATACCTCACCTTCTTGACACCGCGGTAGACGTAAACGTAGAGCTCCTTGCCGAAATTGAAGCACATTCGGTCACCGAGGCCCTGCGCACCCGTGGGGTCTGCTGGGTCCGGCAGCGTGACGAAGGACACCCTGACGGACGCGCTGCCCTGGCTGTTGGTGTAGCCGACTCGGTTCGGTCTCGAGTACTCCGACAGGGTCATCAGCTTGTAGGTGCCCTCCCGCGTGACGAATTGTGTTTTCAGGTCCTCCTTCCCTCCACCGTCCAGCTGCACAGCCATCTTACCACCAGCAGCAGCAGCAGCAACAGCGGCGCAACGGAGGAGCTCATCAGACACGCAGGGAAATATCGCTCGTAGGCCGCCTTCGTTTCTGGCCCGTCGTCGTCAGTGTCGTCACACCGACGTGTTGACCACCGACCGACAGCGTCCGACCGATCGACAGAACGTCCAGCCGACCGACCGTCCGTACGTGGTGCGTGCGTCGCCGTCGTACGATCACCCGACTCCCCGACTCCCTCGTCGTCGCTCGCGCGTGGCTCCCCTCGCCCGTCCGCAGAGACAACTTCACGCGCGCGAAGCGAGCTCCACCGCCGGCGGGGCCGGCTGTGATCAGTCACGATTGGCAGAGCCACGCCGGGAAACCCAGGGCAGAGACAAACCGTGCAGCGAGACAGTGCGAGAGACTGCTGTAATAACCGTTTCCTCACCGACCGCCTGGGCTGGACTTCGCTCCGTTTCTCTTTTTTTTTTTTCACTCTATCTCTCCGTCTTGCACGACAGCACGAACGCGGTTAAAGGGCGCTCGAAATAATACTCTGAATTCTACGAAGTACGAACGAACTGCTGCTTGTGTAGTGCGCTCGTCGAACGGTGGCGGCGGATCGCGCTGCCAGGTTTGCTCCCAGATTTATCGGCGCCCCGCGCACAATTTCGACATCAAAAAATCACACGATGATTACTCTGGATTAAAAAGACCCGAATCATTTTCGGGTTTGTTTGTCACACTAAATTAATAATATTAGTTCTATTAACTTCAAAAAATTACACAGTATATAATTTCATCCTTTAAGAAAATCGGCGTTGTAATAAAAAATTTAATTTTAACAATAAATAAAAATCGTAAACACGTTAATTTTAGAAAATGAGTTGTTTATTTAAAACATTTTTTTAATTTTTGTTTTAGTTTATTATTCTTGAAATGGTTTAAATTATGCTTGGGTCATTTTGACCTACAGTGAAAGGTTAAGGCGGTGTATTTATAATCCGTTTTTATTTAAAAAATTTAAATACAATTGAAAATAAATAAATAAATTTATATTGACGCGAACTCCTGTATTCTTTAAAAATAAAAAAGTACAAATTAGAGCCTTATTTTAAGGAGTCAACGCGATAAATGGAGCGCCATACAATTGTTTAATTAGTTAACAGCGATTTTAATTTTGTCGATCCTCGAACAAAAATATTAATCCGTTTTCAAATATTAATCCAAACGTGTTTTATTATAATTAATTAAATTGTATAGCGCTCCATTTACCGTATTATTGATCCCTTAAGCTCTGATTTGTATTTTTTTATTGTGGTTTATCTTTAAAAATGTATATTAAATAATATCTTAAGATGCTAATACAGCCCTCTGATTTATGACTATGATATCTTAAAATTATACTTGAGACAGTCTCAAATATGCAATAAGAATTGATTATGAATACCTAAGTTTAAGATTTCTTGCAACAAGAAATATAAGTTTATTTATTTTTTGTACGAATCATTCATACATCTCGCAATTTTCTCTTTTCTTGGACTTGAATGGAAATGTTTTCTTTGAAAATATTACGGATAAAAGATTTAATAATACGATTGGTGTTTAAAGGAAACAAAGCATAGATTATTTTAGAAACGTTGCAACAATATTAATGTTAGTTTCTGTGCTATATGGAATATTTTATAATACAATATTTTATAATACATATTTTTAAGAATTTTTCATATTTAAAATTTTTGAAGATTTCTGAAAAATGTCTTTTCCTTAGTCTTATAAAAGATTCTCAGCATTTCTAAAAAGTGTCACAACTCGTATAAAAAATATCTGAAAAATTTTTTAAACAGTAATTAAATCATACAGAAATTGTACAAAATTATATGAGAACTTGTAAGAAAAATTTATATACTCTAAAAGAATGCCAGTTTATCGTGATAGCGCATTTGCGCGCGATCGCGCGTATCACCGGGATATTACGCTCCCTTCACGGCACTGACGCTTCGTTGTAATGCGCGCGCAGTGAAATTGGCAATCATCCATCTCAGCCGCGGCTCGTGCGAGCCCTGTTTAGGGACCGGATATTTTGTAAACAAGCGCGAGCGAAGGGTCAATTAATTTCGTCCGCTTTTTCCTGCTTCCCCCCGCTCGTATCCCTTCTTCTATGTCGTCGTTCGCACGTCATCGGCCGACAACGGGATGAACGATTATATAAACAAAACCGCGCAATTTCGGATAAATTTCTGCTTTCGGATAGCAGTAAGTTCTCTCTCTCTCCTTCTCTCTCCCCCCCCCCCCCCCCCTCCTCATTTGTCTTCTGAAAGCCACCGTCTTGTAACGATGAATTTATCCGTGAAACTTGAGCACTGCAGAATTGAATTTGCCAGAGATAATTACGAGCTAGATAATTAATTGTTACACGCCGATCTATCAAAAATCAAGTACAATAAGTTTCGCCAACGCGTTAATTGATTCCAATTTAACTATTTTTCCGTCTCTTTCTAGATTGTACACGTTTATTTACTTTCTAAATTTTGTGCGTGTTTATACTTATTATTTAAAATATAATAATAATTTTAACTGACCGCAGAAGGTTTAACTGAGCGTAGTTAATTCTAATCGCTGTTAATAAAACCGATCTTAATCGTATTTTACACTTAGAATGTGGATTAAAAAGTTTCTTCAAGTAATTCGGTTTGTGTATACTGTATTGTTAGTGTAATTTCTAATTTTTAAAATCAAATATCGTCTTTACAATTGTAGCACCTCTATCTATTTCTTTAATTATTTCTATTTATTTTATTATTATAGTTGTTATTATATTTTATAATATTTTATTTTATTACTGTTCATATTATTTCATTATTTTATTTTTACTTTATTATTTTTCTTAATTATTCATCTTAATTCAGGAGAAATACTTAAGATTTAGAATTTAAATCTTAAAATTTAAGATTTATTAAAGAAAGCATATGCATATATATGTCTTTTGGATTCGACATTTATTGTACATGCAAGTACAAAAGCTCTAAAAAATTTTAATCAATCTTTTTAATTTTTTTTAAAGTTAGATTCACAAATAATTTTCTTTCTTGTTCAATTCAAATTCGTTAATTTTTTTCATATGGTATCAAAAATTTAACTTTATTCTAGTTTACCGTTAACGCATTCTCCGCGCGATCCTATTTGAACTTAGCCGCACTTGACTAACAATAAGCTTGCCCCCACCAGTGCGCTGGAATCAAATCCTTTTCGGTTCCTTTTCAACGATTCACTTTATCGCCATTTGAATTTTGTTCGTCAGAACTCCGATTCGCGAATCATGTCGTTGATCATATCAAAATAGCAAAGAGGCTAGATACGTTTGCCGAACGATTGAACATAATTGGTTATTACTTATAGATCCAACCAATCATACTCGATCGCTTGGCAGAGAAGAAACGGAAAAAGAACAGACTTGGACATCGCCACTAACGCCTGCAACGCCACAGCTGCAAGCGGGTTGGAATTTGGAAATCGCAATAATCGCATCACTGTTCTAAACTTTAAGGTAGGTTTATTGAAAATTTGTGGTAATTCTTTACAAAAGAGCTACCTCACCTCCGATTTTGATGAAATTAGGCTCATTCGACGCGTTTTTGTGTAAAATAAAAGAATCTGGCAAAAAAAAGTCCGGGACTGCCCTGCGAAGCGAGATATCGAGCGTTAAAGTTAACGACTATTGAGGTTAGGAAATCTGTCAGATCTACATAATAAGCAATGAAAATTAACATTAGGTTAAATTAGTTATGCTATTTCTTGTGACATGTCGCTAGCCAAAGTAGCAGTACTTTTATTAAAAATCAAATTTTAAATAAAAAAGTAAATATAAATTGTATTATCATTGAGTTAGAAACTTTTAATTTATTGTATACATATTTGTTCTTTTTCTCTAGCAATACATGCACAATCTACATAACAAATCAGAATTATATTATTTCAATGGCTCCGATGGGAAAGCGGTCATTTCATGGTAAAAAGAGAAAAATTGATGAACGCAATGCACAAAAACGACCAAAGCCGAAAAAAGAAAAATTCAATCTTAGAAAAGCTTCTTATATTAAAGAACGTGATGCAAAGAATGAAGAAATTGAAGCTCGCAGGCGAATAATGGAAAAAGAAAAGATTCGCCAGCGATTAGAGGAAACAGATAGTTCTGAAGAGGAAGAAGTTGATCCTTGGATGCTTTATATATCTAAGTTATCTGGTTATAAACACACAAATTTAATAGAAAAATTAAGAAAGTCAGTTGTAACAAGTTCAGAAAGTGAAAACGAAGATTCTGATGCACAGAATGAAAATGAAACAGACAAGAAGGAGAAAACAAAAGAAATTAAGAAAATAAAAAGGAAAAACGTTGAAGAAAAGAGTGAAGAATCTGAAGCGAATGAAGAATCTTCTGATCAGGATGAAGAGATTATAGTTAGGATGAAAGAAGATGATTATGAAGATGCTGAGACTGCTCAAGAAGACATTGGTCATTTGAGAGATCCATTCTCTTTGCATTTACGTAATGATATGGATGATGAACTGTACAAAGTAGTATCTGCAACACCACAAATTACAAAAACTACGACATTATCATGGCCTACATTGGGGAATCTGGTATGTCAAATTCCAAAACCAGATTCAAGTAACAAGGCAGTAAAAGTCAAAAAGCTTCTGGATGATGAAGAGAAAAAATATACAAATTATGGTAATATTCCAACTTTAATTGAGAACGTTGATTGGAATAAATTGCATGTAAAATCACAGATTCAGAATAATTTGGTTAAAGCTAATTATGAGAATATAAAGGCTACTATAGAAAAAGATTCTGTACCTTTGACTCCTCTTCAAAGGGAATTGTTTTCGATAATTAATAATTATCAAGACTTGCATTATCCTGGAAGAACATTTTCCAATGCCGATGAAATACGATTCGTTTATTGCCTGCATGTAATTAATCACGTTCTGAAGACCCGGACAAAAATACTACATCATAGTGCAAAGTTAGCAAAGGCCAATCGTAGTGGCATGGGAGAAGTTCCAGATGAATACAAGGATCAGGGTTTAGTTAGGCCCAAAGTACTCATAATAGTGCCATTCAAACATTCTTGCTTGAAGATAGTCGAGATGTTTATCTCAATTTTGTTTGGAGAAGACAAAGGTGGCTCTGTCATCAATAAGTTGCGATTCATGGACGATTTTACTGGAAACGAATTAGCGATGTCTAAGAAGAATCCTAAACCAGAAGATTACAAACTGTCTTTGCAAGGAAATCTTGACGACAAGTTCAAGATAGGCATGGCACTTACTAAGAAAACTCTCAAGTTGTACACAAATTTCTACTCTTCTGACATTATAATCGGTTCGCCGTTGGGTCTCAGGAGAGTAGTAGGTGCAGAGGGCGAAACGGTGAGAGACTATGATTTTCTGTCATCTATAGAGTTACTGATCATGGATCAGATAGACATCGTTCTCATGCAAAACTGGGATCATCTGTATCAAGTTTTAGATTACATGCATCTGACACTCAAGAAATCTCACGATATCGATTACCCCCGAATTAGAAGTTGGTGTGGGAATGGCTGGACAAAATATTACAGACAAACATTGATCTTCTCTAGTATCGAAACACCGTATATAAACACAATGCTGATCAAGAAATGCTTTAACTATGCCGGCCAGGTGAAAGTGGCGAATGCATTGGAACCAGGCTCGATTCATGACGTGACTATTAAAGTTCCACAGGTCTTTTATAGATTCGACGCTTCTGATCTTTGTCAGGCTATCGATAGCAGGCTGGATTTCTTCCTGAAAGAGATACTGCCTCGATACATGGATCCTATATACAATCACACATTAATCTACGTGCCATGCTACTTCGACTTCGTATATCTGCGCAACCGTATGATGAAAGAGAAGATGAGTTTTACGATGATCAGCGAATACACCCAGGATCGAAAAGTCGCCCGAGCGAGGGATATGTTCTTTCACAGCGATGCGCATTTTCTCCTCTATACAGAACGCTGGCATTTCTGGCGCAGAACAAGGATAAAGGGTATCCGTCACCTTATATTCTACCAATTACCAACTTATCCACATTTCTACAGCGAAATGTGTAATCTGATGAACAATTTATATCAGAATCCACGTTCCGGCACGGAGTACAATATGTCTGTAACCGTCATTTACAACAAATTTGACGCCATATCTCTCGCCCAAATAGTGGGTCAGAATAGAGCCACTAAAATGATAGAATCAGACTCTAAAGTACACACAATTAAATGCTAAGAATAGCTTGATAATAATAATTTTTTTATATTTGTGTATATCACGCGAAAAGATAATTATAAGTAATTTAATAATTACAATAAATGCGTTATTTTATACAACTATGCTATTGCTGTAAATCAGGAGACGCGGTAGCGTCTCCGGCCATGTTCAAAAAAACTGTGAACGCTATAAAGTAATTATTTTGTAAATAAAATCTAAAATAATTACTTCAATCTTTATTTTAATCATAAAAAATTTACATAAAACATCTATTGAATGAATTTCAATTGTGATAAAAAATACGTTAGAATTATAATGAATTTCTATTTTATCGTTGCTGCACGCACTTCTCTTTCTAATATTAATAATTACAAAAATAATATTGAGTTTTTTTCTAATTGTCAATATAATACTCTATATATAAAAATACTTGATGAAAAGAGTCTAAATAAATAATCCTTCACGAAAAATTACACTTGTAATTCAGTCGTTTTATTATACACAATAAAGATACAAAATTTGATTTATTTGAATTTATAAGAGAGATGAAGTCTGCGATGAAACATGTAAGTATAATTTCATTTACAACTTTATTATAATACATTGTTAATTTTTTCTATCGTACCTTCGCATTAGTTCACATGATTCTATAGACAATTAGATATTTAAATTATTTCAATGTATCTGTATGTGTCTCAGTAAGTAGATCTAGTCTCTATAAGGTTTCTCATTTGTCAAATTCAGATCAATACAACTCCTAACATTCTCTGTCCATAAAGAACTAAAAGAGAATTGCTTCCCTATATGTACTAATAGGTATTGATACTCTATTAGCGATTACTAGTTTGATTTTCTTGCATCTTGTTATTTTCAATACGAGATGTGAAAAGTGATCGTATATATTTGCTTATGTAACACTCTCATCATCTTCGGTTGTAATGCTAGTAAAATTATGATAATCTCCTGTTGTCGATATTGATGTGAGCTCTACAGATGTTTCCCTGACATCCGCAATTTCCGTGAAGACTTCCAAGAAACTTTTTTGTCGTTGAGTAATCGATAAATCAATTTGTTCCATCTGTTTATTTTCTACCGTCGTAGATCTCGCTGTCATCCTTTCGATCTGCGTTTCTGTGAAAAAAGAATATCGTTACATTATAAAGATAATTGTAATACAAAATATTTGTAACAAAGTAATTACAACAACGAAAATTAATGTATGTTTAATATTTCTAAATTTTATAAAATATATATTTTTATAAGTCAAGAATTTTTATTTATATTGATATTATATTGATACGTAATTTTTTGGATTTTAATCGTATGGGATACTTTTTTATGTTATTCGAATTTTAGAAAATTAATATTTTACGAGGCATTTTGATATACTTTCACGCATAAAATGTATTTATAGCGTACAGAATTTTTAAAATGTTGTATTTCTAAATGTATAAAACTTGTATGTTTTATACTAATATAAAAAATTTCTTAAAACTTCTAGAGCTTTCAAAATTTATTTTTTCTTGAAAAAGTGTCTTCTGCAATTAAAATATATTCCAATATGACACAGAAAGAATGATTTTATTAAAGTAATTAAAAATTTTACTAGTTATATAGATTAGAAAATAAATGTTAGACCATCAAAATAATTTCTCAGAACGCTCAGCTTGCTATAAATGTCAAAACCTTTCGCAACATTGCTCATTATATTTGAATGCTCTGTGTATAATAATTTTGATAATTTAATAAAATTATTGCTAAATCTGTTAAATTTTTTAATTCTTCGGCAAAATTTCTTTTCATGTAGAATTATAATTCTGTATTATTTCTAATTCATTGGCGTGAAATTCTCAACGAAGGTTTGCGTTGCAGTGATTGAACTCGACAACGCCTTTACCGTTTGAGATTAGCGGAGTCGTGAGGGAGTCGAGGGAAGGAGACTTTGGACACTCCGGCTTGTCGATTTTCATCCTTCTAACTGACTGATCCTTAGGATTCCAGACGAAGGTGTAATACAACGAGAGCAGTATAGCAGCCATACTGACAAATATGACGTACGCGACCACCGTCAGTACTCGTACCACCTTCTGCTTGTGCTTCGGTTCGTAGAGCTTATCTTTTCGTTCATCCCCAGCGAAACGGATCTCATTAGATGCCGACGGTTTGCTCTCACGGTTACCCAGGGTACGACCGATGCTCGCCATCACGTTGTGGGCGCTCATTTTTCGTGGCAATTGCATCCTCGATTTCGCGAAAAATTCACATTTCAATCGATGAGACGATCATCGTTCCACGGATGGACCTCGGCGAGAGGAATTCGAAAGAAATCGTATAATGTGCAGGCTTTTTCTCTTAGCTGAAAAGCAAACGACCTACGTTCGTGACGTTGATCGCAAGCATTATTGGAATAGTTTAGCTTGTGCAAGTCGCAAATATATTTTCCCGAGAAAAATTGTCGAAATCGTACAGCGTTTTTGTGAGTCGTTAAACCATCTATAACTGTCCATCAACTTGGATGAATTTGTTTTACCAAAAAGAGCGATGGATAAATTTTATATTCTAAAATATTTTAGAAATAGATTCTTAGGAATATATCATTTTTGATTGTGTGAATATTTTTTAGTGAATATGTCAACAACGCCGCATAACAGTCAATACAAACTATTTTATAAGATATAATTATTATATTTATATTCTTGAATAATTTTTGATAGCTCCTTTTTGCGTTATATTTTCAAGTAAGCGTACCTCAACGTTAATACGCATCCGCACGTTTATTTTCAGCATCGCGCGCTCTCGGATGCTCGATTTACCCTTGCGCCTTCGCAGATTCCATTACAGAGATACTCTTGTTCGAATTATACTGTTCAATCACATCGCGAGTGAGAGACGCATTTCGCAGACGCGACAGGGCGTGCCTCACCGAGACGAGCCTCGCTCTCGTAAGTTTCGAGATTGTACGGAGAAGGGTTGACTCACGCGTTCGGGATCGATAAGCCACACGAGCTTTCGGCTCTTTCGTTTTCACCATGGAACTAAACACGCGCGTTTTACCGCTGGCTATTTCTGTGTGCCGGCTCTCGTGGATGCCCGTATCTCGCCCCGTACGTCGCGAATACGAAAAAAAGCACACCCACCTCGGATAGGTGCACCGGGAAGCAACACCCAGTGCGCAAGCTCTGGAACCTTGACCAGCCCAGAGAGCTTTTCGCTTCTCACGCCAGCCGGAGGCTGACAAACTTACGCGAGGTTACGAAGATCTGCTCCATTTTTTTCTTTATGACTTGTCCATTTAAAAAGATCGATTATTTTAATAATAATTTTTATAAATAATTTTTTCAAAAAATAAATACATATTAATTTTCAAATATTTAGATTTTTAAATATCTTTTGCGTCTTCCAAAAAAATGAAATCGCAAAGAAGATTCACAATTTTCTTATAAATATACAGAAAATTAATAGACGTCTCAAGAGGGATTTCAAAAGTTTGATCCATGTAAAACTTTCGAATTATACGTACTACAGTCACTTTTTAAGTTTGTATTCTTTGTTTATATTTTATGTAATTTGAACAAGTACTATTATGTTTTGAAAGTCTTTTACTCACTGGAATTTAATCATTTAAAATTATTTTACAAATCTTAAGAAACAGCTGAAAAAAACGAATATAAAAATATTTTTATACGCAAAAGAAAATTGTATTGTTGCAAGTGATTTTATGAATAGTATGTAATAATAACATATGGATAAATAGATTTAAGTGGAGAAAATCATCAAGCATTTCGCAAATTAAATCCATTTATGCACATTATTTTTCTACACCTTTTAGCACATTTTACTTTAAACGCGCCATAAATATAAGTATAATTAAAACTTTAGATAAAAGTTTTAAAAATGGATTACAGTTATAATTAATTTTTTTTTGTCGTAGAAAGTAACGTCGTAAAAGCATGCAACATTTTACTTTAAGAAGACGATTCTTCTAAAATAAATTGTGTAAAATTTACATTAAAAAAGAATCGTCTTTTTAAAGTTTACTTAATTTAAAAGAACTGTTTCGAAAATACGGATAAAAATTAGGGAAAAGACGAGCAGAATATTTTATCGGAGAGATATAGCACAGTCTCGAAATGGGATTAAATGTAACGAGAGTTGAATAAAGACGGGAGAGCTGCCTGAACTACTAAGCAATTTCGTTTCGAGAATGGATCGACGCGACGTAACTTTGTCGTTTTACTTGTCCTATAAAAGGTGGCGCGCCTTTGTTTTAGTAGAACGTCACAACGCAGCCCCTTGATCTTTTCTTCAGCAAACAAGGTGCATTATTCGATCCTTTGGTGTAAGTTTCGTATAACCAAGAAAACAGGTGCAAACCTGGAAAACAGCTACAGGTTCTGGGAAATTATGGCCGGGTATCTGTTAAATTATGTAAAGTGTCTCCGACACAAATACCGAAAGAAATTATTTACTTTATGAAATATCGCGAGAAGGAATCCTTTAAGCCTTTAGAATTACATGCCCGATGTTTTTGTTAAATTTCATTAAATCTATATTTGTACTTTAAAGATTTAACTTGTGAGACATTTTATTTACTTTCAGTGTCCAATTATATCTGTTAAAAAAGTTTATTATATAATGAATTTTTTTGCATACGACTCATCGATGATAGTTTCTTATGAATACTATTTTATAGTGTACTATTTTTATAGCTCGAAGTTTGTATTAACATTAGAATGCTATCGTTATTGAGTGACACGGTATTGCTACCGATCTTTTAAGTACAAACAAACAGGTCATTCTTAATTAATGTAACACAAATTTATTATACACTTCACATTTTTAAAATGAGAATATTTATTATCTAGACTTATATAAAGAAAAATAAAATATTAAGTTAAAAGAAAAGAAGGAATAAACGCACTATTAATTCAATCTTAGATGATATAAAGTATGTAGTCTAATTGTGCGTATTTCCATATTTAAAAATAAAATATATAATAATACAAAATAATACTAGGCTGCTTAAAAATTGAAATCACTTGTCACTTTCTCTATTAAGTACAACACTGACTACTAGGAGATTTAAACTGATATACATATACATGAATAAAACTTTTAAAAGCTTTAAAAGCTTCGCTTGTTTTAGCCTTTGGTATAGTAGATTGGACTTCTTACCATTGAAGGCATAGCTTAGTGTTCAATTTCTTTGCTCACTTGTACATAAAATTTACATTTTGATAGTATTTTAGAATTATTTTTATTTTGTATTAATGCTTTAAATTTAAATGATTTTAATAAATTATTCCTAATTAAGGATTTTTATTTTATTAGTTTCTTCGGTAGCGGATATATATTAACGCGGTTTACTTGTTGCAATTGTCATCTGATAATTAATTGTAATATATTCAAGAGTTATCGAATCTTGAATGTGATGTAACGTTGAAGAAGCCATATAATAGATCGAACTGACCCTGTTTCACTTATTACTCAGTGACAGCGCGGATAATCATCGTATACCAATCCAGCGACTTATTTCTAAGGTTTTAATCATTGCTCTTCATCTGTCATGTCCGTTAAGAATCCCTTTTTTTTCTAGTCGAGAAGGAAAATTACTTTTCGGTTTGATAGCTTATTAAAATCTCTCTTTCTTAAGCAAAAAGTATTTTTAACTAATATAAACATAAATATAAATTATTAAAAATATAAATATAATATATGAAAAAATTAGAATTTATATCTGCAATAAAAACATGAAATAATATAAAATAGATTTGAAGAAATATTTGATAGAAACAAATTAATTTGATTTGTAAATTCAGAAATTTTAGACAATGAGCAACTAAATATGCTTCGTATATTTATTTAGTCGGGCGAACAACAGTTAGGCTTTGACGAGAACATAAACTGCAACAGATGTTCCAGCAGATGCAAGAGCATCAATAATCGTTCATTTCAAAGCTAACAGAGACACACGGAATTCAATAATTATATTTAAACTTTTATTTATTTCATATTATACTTATCAATTTAATATACACGGTCGTGTTTTGTTATTAAAAATACGTATTAATACTAAAAGCGGAATTGCCTGTTTTGTAGATTTGCGAACATGCCGGAAACGTTACGATTCTAGCAGGATAAAAGGAAAACCGAGAATGACGTAACGCTCATTGTATAATCATATATTCATTGTATAATCACACAGTCACGTTTCGCGCCGCCCTGTTTATCCCAGTCGTAAGAGAGGCTTAGCAAATCGGCGCGAATTCTCTCACCTTCGGAATTTCTCGTTCTCGCGGTGCGTGGCCGTGATTTTACGACCTTCGACGTCTGATGGAATCCCGGAACGTCGATAAATCCTGAGTCGCGAGACGATGGATCGATCGCTACTTTATCACGCGCCATCTGTCCGATCTGATCGTTCGAAGAGTAATTTTTCTGGGGATTCCTAATACTATCGTGCACGTATTTCTCCAATATAATGCTCGTTTGTATACCATTTGAATTATTTTCTCGATCGTTATTAATCAACCAGCGATCGTCGGTCTTGTTTTGTTTTATTGGTTCTTTCCTACCGGTCTTCAGGAAGTCTTGGGTCATTTTGGAAGATTCGTCTTCGAAAACGCGTCGATCGCTGCCACTCGTAATGCCGCTACTTGCCGTCACGTTGCTGAATTCGCGAATAACGTACGATTTAACGGTATCGAGATTTTTTTTGTTATATCGTTTCTCTTTGTTGATAATTGGACTGACGCTGATAGAACTTCTATTAAATCTCTGGCTCGTTTCGGAAATAGTCGTGAACTTGGGTGTGAGAGACGTACTTTCGACGTTCAGAGTACTCATAGAATTCACGAATTCTAGAGGCAGATCACTATAAGTCTTTTCTTCGGATATGCTTTCACTCGCGGATTTACCGTGTCGATTTACCGAGATCGTGTTCTCCGCGGGACTAACCGTCGAGTTAAGCACTTTTTCCGCAAACGAATTGTTAAATCCGCTGGACTTCGTTGTCTCTTGCGACGAATTTCGTCTCTGAGCGCGTAAGGTGTCCACAAGCGAGTGTCTCAGCTTCAGCAACGTCGCGTTTAATTCGAGTTTTTTTTCGAGATTTATTTTATCTTGGGAATCATCGCTGTCGTACATGTAATGGATCTTGCGATTCAGAAGAAGCTTGTGCATGGGATTGACTTCGCCCTGCGAAAGGAAACTGCTGTCTTTCCTCGTCTCCTCCGAGGGTGGCGCGATCAGGAACTGCATCTGCGGATCCATCCGCAAACGTTCTCGCTGTATGAGTTTCGGATTCGGCGGTTCCCACAGGAATATGTAATAAGCACTCAAAAGAATAGCCACGAAACTCACTGAGAATAGATAGGCCATCACGGTGAGCACGCGGATGATCTTCTTAGATCCACGATTCTCGTAGATCTCCGCGTTTGGATCCTTCGCCGGTACATCCATCGGAGAATCCGGCGAGGAAGCATCCTGCGATCTTCCTTCGCCGCTGCTGTCCTCCTTGCTCATCTCGACTTGCGTGCGATCTTCGGATTGTATCAACGTAAAAATCTCTGTGCTCTCGCGCACGTCACGGGAAGAGATATCTTCTCTTCGCTGTTCATCGCGAGGTTGATCCTCTAGAAATTTTTTAATGCAGCTTTTCGATAAACACTATTTGCATATTACAAAAACGATGATCTTCGATAATTCTCGATGGTTCTTATCAACTGCCATTCGTAGTTGAAATAAAGGAAACGATTTTGTTATCTGTCGTTTATTTTAGTGTTCTCTTCGAGCCTGGCTCGTGTTAATCGCTTGATCGTTTATTGCTTGAAGCACCCATACATAAGGATAGTAAATACGGAAGAGAGACGCTCGTCCGCCGATCAAGGGGAAACGTCCTGGTAGCGATAACACGCGCAACTGCGAGCTCTCGGCGAGCGACGCGCCGCGGGAAAGCTCGGCTTTGCGGAGTTCACCACGTGTTCGACACGAGCTCGCGCAAGCGTCCTCGCGTACCTGCCACATGGCCCGAGCTTACACCAAATCTTGACAACAATCCGACAGTTTCCGAGTGATTTACAAGAGGTTCTTTTACGAGCGGTCTATCGCTGCAAAACGAAACGTCATTTCATTTCGTCGGCGAAACTACTCATATCGATTTTATCATCGTTTCACTACATAGATACTCGTTTATTAGAAATTTATTATCAATCCTGAGGATTTTCATTTTCCGGCAATTTCTCTTCCTTTTCCGCGACAATCGCCTCGTCCTGCTTGAACTGTAATGATCTCAAGGAGTTCGTGCTGGTAACGGAAGTAAACGATTTCTGATCGTCGGAATCCTCTTCTTCGCGCTCCGAAAAGGTATTAATGTCGTCTCTCGAGGAGTCCAGAGATTCGTCGGATATCAAACAGTCTTTATTACGCTCTTCTACCTCTTCTAAGGAAGATTCTGTGGTCCTTGAAGATCCTTCAGGACATCCTCTCTGTTCGACGTTCATTGACGGATTACTGTTCGCCAAGTTGAGTTGCCGCAACAACCGATGCAACCAGTTCCGAAAGTATTCCTTCATAACGATCTCATTTCTGCTTTTCGTGGACAGAGACCGGACTTCTTCCGGACGCTTCTTCTCGGCTTTTAAAAATTCCTCGAATTTCCGGAAGTCCTCCGCCGTGAAGATGTTTCTGCTCAATCTCACACCAGAATCCGTCAACACCGACGTCAATCGCCATTTTCTGTTTTTTCCGTTTTGCTGTTGTACGTGATTGTGTGATTTCCAACCGCTTTTCCCAGCGGAGGTAGATCCTTGCTCCGAAACAGGGTCAGATTTTTCCAAAGCGATCGAGGTATTCTTTTGTTTTTCCACGGAAAGTGACTGCGAACTTTCGTCATTCGTCTCCGGGGTTAAAGCTGTAGAAGCTCTCTCGGATCCGATCGATACGAACGGTAAGTTGGAAATGGATTGTTGCTCGTTGAGCAGACGAAAGATTTGTATTAGTAGATCGTTGGATCCTTCGAAAGCAGAGGACATCGACACGGGCGTTTGTTGATTCTGCTGCGCGATTAACGAATTCAACGCTGGCATCAACGTGGGAGCGTATAACAAAACAGCCAGTCTGTATAAGTATAATAATTATTTTATAAATGAGATTTTTTAAGTCTTTTACAAAATATAATTAAGGCTTTTGACCGTTTTTATTGAACGCGGATATTTAGATTGACATCAGAAATGAGAAAACACAAAAATATGAAAATTCTTGCAACGTATATAATATTAAAATAGAAATATTTCTCAATGAAACAATATTTGCATTAAAATATATCGAAAATTTTTCTTTTCAGAATTAAATTATACATATTTATCTTAATTCGATAGATGTTGGTATAGTTTGTTTTATTTTTTGGTTAGACATAATTCAATTCTAAATATATAATTATTCATTGATTACATGAAGAAAGTTTTCGATATATTTTACAGAGATTGGAAATATTGATTTATTAAAACATATTTAATATAGTTTACAAAAATCTTCTCTCTTGATATATTTTTATGTCGCTTCTGACGTCACAATCCAAGATGACTGCAGTGAGTACCCAGGAATGTTAATTTTACTTTATTGTAAATTATTAGAAAACCTTATATTTTTATCGATTTTAATCTTGTACTATATGTGTCACAAACGATATAATTAAAACGATATGTCTTATATCCTTATTATCCATTCAAACTTCGTTGTCATTAACAATTCTTGAGAGATATTTTTATACATATTGGAAATAAAACATTGGGAATAAAAAGTATTTAAAAACGAATATGAATAAATAAATAAACAGACCATAAATACCTCAGAAGCTGTATTGTGAGACTGCTAGAATCCAAAGTCGGATCAGTGGCCGATGAGTGCATTATATGATTGTATGTCGTGTGTACCGTACTCCTCGGGGTCGGCGTTCTTTTTTCGATTCGCGGATTCGCTCGATTATCCCGATCAGTGCTGGAACTGGAAATACGAAACCAAACAATTCTCTAAGAACGATTATTTATAATTATTCATGAGATTATAAAAAATGAGATAATAAAATATTTCAAAAATTTGAAAGAAAATTTTATATTATACTATAAAATAGAAAACAGGATAAAGAAAGTGGACACATAAATAAAAATATAAATATATTCTATAAATCCTGTATTATTAGGATAATAATGTTTCTCTAAAAAAAAAATATATTTTCCTAAATAATTTGAAAGATGGTCTGTTCAAATTCAAGTAAAAATACTTAATTTCAATATTGAATTAATTCTTCAGTTAATATTACTATCCATACAAGACATTGCAAACATTGCAACAATATTGCTGCAAGTTTCTGTGCTGTATGATATGTTCTTTGCGAGTATTATTGCATCACATTGTACACGCTGATATTCTTATAAATTTCCTCACGTTTTAGTTTAAGAGAGACTTAATGTTTCCAGTCTAATAATTAAAAAAATCGGCTAAAAATAATCTTTTCAATCCTCGGAACTTCTTTAACTTTTTCTTTCATTTTCCACTGCATTAGATTTCATCTCAGGATTATACCTTTCTGCAGAAAGTCCCCTTCGATATTGCGACTTTTCCCGTTCATTCCTTCGAGATGAAGAATTACCGCGAAGTTGATTATCCTCCTTGTGAAACATTCTCAGGAAACTCGCATATTTCGGCGTGGATACGTGCTTTTTCCAGAACGTCTTTCCTTCCGTCGGCATCCTACTGTTCCTGAGCTTGCTCTTAGCAATCTTCTCATCTGGAGTAAACGTCGTTGACGTATCCTTGACACGCGGTTTGATTCTTTCGGTCAATTTCGGCCGATCCTGCTGGCTGCCGACTCCTAGATTGATCGCTATCGCTCGATCTTTCAGATCGTCCAATTTACGTTTGTTGCCGCGTCCTTGTCCAATCACGTTTTGATCAGTCACGACGCCTGATTCGGCGGTTTGCAGCAGAACATTTCCCTGACAGCTGACCGGATCGATCGATCGTTTATCGCTGTTATTTATCGCGACGGGCTTGACGGGTCTCGATTCAGCCGAATGAGAGATCTTCGCCACGTTGTTGATGATTTTACTGACACCCTGGCACGCTTCCATCGACTCTTTCGAGCTACGTTGCTTTATCGTTTCGTTGTTGTTTTGAGCCAGTGAAGTTCCGGCGTAGTTCTGCAAAGCCTGGGTAATGTTTAGATCCACCGGATGTTACCGTGAATCGAAGTTATTGCTTGACAGGATGAGTAATTTTACACTTTCTTTTTTATTTTGTAATTTGGAATGCAGAATCAATTGACATTTTATAGCGGAACTTGGAAATCGCTGAAGGCGGAATTTTTAAATAAACAAATAAAAGATTCACGCTGTGCCGTAAATTTACTCATCCAGGAGCAAAATAACGTAAATATTATGACACGAATCGTAAACATTTATTTTACATGAAAAAAAAAACGGTATTTTATTTTTGCACGTCATATACGGATACGCATATTATCTGTCAGAATATTGATATGTCCCATACAATCAGAAAAGCTTGCTGCATTTTTAAGTCGAAATAACAGTAGACGAGGCTACATATTTTACGAATCAATTGTACTTCATACCGATCACTATTTTAGGATTGTTAACGTTTCACTGTCAGCAGGTCACAGTTTACTACTTTACTCAATATTTATTTGAGAAATATCTTCAAAAGTAGACGTGCCTCAGAAATAGCATATAGAGTTATTTACAAACGTGACAATCAATATGCAATAATCCGATGCTGCTAAATCGAATTAACTTCAAATTATAGAAGTCGTAGAAATACGCATCGATTCGTAGCTCGCAAGCTACACAGAAAAAACGGTTTGCTAAAGTTACCTAAAAATTTAGTTAAATACGAATCTGAAAACAATTCTATTAGAATTAGACCACCAAAATAATTATGTTATAGAATGTTCAAACTGGTTACTAGAATGCAGGATTGGGTAATGCTAAGATAATATATCAAAGGCTAAGTTAAAAAGTTAATTAATTTTAGCTTAACTTTCTTATAGTTACATTTTAGACTCGTTAACTTTTTGACTCAAAGTTACATTTTTATATGGTAATCGTTTCGATAATTATTAACTTTTAATTTGACTTTTTTAAAGTTAACCGAGATATAATGACTTTGTTGAAAGCATATTAATATCTCTCTATCCAGAGGAAGCTTCCAAAAACCCTCACGAAAAAATTAAATTTTTAAGACTGCTAAACAAATTGACTCAACCCTGCTAGAATGCTAAAACTTTTTACAGCATTGCTTATTATGCTCGAGCGTCCTACATAATTATTTTAATTGGTTGAACAAAATTATTTTCAGATTTATGTCTAATTAAATTTTTAGATACTTTAACAAAATTGTCTTTGATATCGTGTGTAATAATAATATAATACTTGTTAAGAAAAATATCGATGGTACAGTACACGAATATGTACCGAGTGCAGTTATTCATCAGTTTACTTATTTCTTCGGAAACCCACTTCAAAGTTTAATGACATATTATCAAATAACAATGGAATCGAAATTACAATTTTAATTTGCTATTGATTTCGATAACGTGGATGCTAGTATCAATTTGTCATTTATCATGTAACCGCACATAATGGAAGTCGTGTAAGTTTACGAATTGTATGTATACCTACAGAAGTGATCCTTCTTAAGTAACTCTTTATTCGTCGAAGCTGCACTTGAGAGTGTACTGTATCATAGAAGGAATAGCTTTTGAGATATCTAATTACACGGATTTGATTAACGTACATTATTATTTAATTGCAGCTTCTGGACTGTCGCGCTCAAGGCGGAAGTTTGCGGGGAGTGTTCCTTGGCAGTTCTCGGTGAATCGTTAAACTTCTACAAAAATCGTTAATTGTATCATTTTACAAGTCAGTAAATAATTAGCATGTTATATGACAAATTATAATACGGCTTTTTGTTTTTTTGTTGGAAATCGTTAATGTAATAACTAACCATATTATTATATATATGGAATTACGAGATATATATTATATCAAAATACTAAACTAGGAGAAAAGTATTTGTGATTATAATTGTATGGTAAAGTAGTTATAATTAAAAGTTTTATTTTTATAGCTATATTATTGCTATAAAAATATTAGAGAAAGTAACAATAATTACAATTCTATATATATATATATATATATATAAAAATGTATATAATTCTGTATTATTACTTCGGGCAAATTTTCTTTCTGTTTTGCTAGTTGTTGATTTCGCGAGCAACCGTAAATATTCATTCTGTCAGCAATGCAGCATTCGTGTCCAAATAATGCGCAAGCTTGGCGATTGCTTCTTTCCCGTGTATTGGCATAACGCTCTTGTAACTCTGGAGAAATCCTCTCGGAACATGTTCGATTTCCGGTAGGAAATTTATTCCAATTACACGTCGCCGCACGCTGCATATCGAAAATCGAAATAAGCACATCGACATGATCTAGATGTATCTCTTTATTGTATAAAAGAAATTTTTATTTCGGATTATATAAAAGTGCGATCGAACCTGATTATAGAATGCACTCTGACATCCCGCGAATCTGTTGCGTTCGATAAGAGGTGCTAATATTCTGGCCCTCATTAATTCTCTCTCAATTGCTGCATAATTTTCATTTATTTGTCTTATGTAATTTCTAAGTAAATTGTTATGTCTGACTGTGTTACTGTTACACAATGATCGACGAAATCCGTTACGAGATTGTGTATAATGAGGTGTTATGTTACCCCTGCGTCAAAATAATAATTTATATTATAAAACTGCTGGATAATCATTTAAAGGGAAAGACATAAAGAAGAGAGATGCCTCTATTTAAGATTAATATAATTAATGTAAAATATTTTATTACATTAATTTGTTGGATTATGATAAAATATTGTCTTTATTCCAATAATCCAATAATTTTAAAAACATAATATAATAATAATTTTAGGGTAGAAAAGGAATTGTAGATTATATATCTAAAGGGACAAACAAGTAATAATCAGAAAGAACCTTAGAAAAGATGGAACTGCTTTTTATGTCCTAAAACAGAATAGATATACTAAGTCTTAAGGATTGATTGATCGCACAGTCGAATGTGAGGAGAATTAATATCCAACTATATGATTGATATGTTACAGACAAAGTCCACATAATAGGCAACGTTGACATTATCCAAGAGAGTGTGTGCGTTGCCTACTCCGTACAATATCAACATTATCCGGACCGTGTTAACATTGCTCAACCCAATCGCGTTGAGCAATATTGACACTGCTCAAGTCGACACTGCCCACTTGCGTACTTTACCCGTAACGGATATATCAATTTTTTAAGATTTAATGATTACCACATCTATTGTATTTCGGAGCTATAAGCCTAGATCTTGTAAAGTACTTTGTATAATAATTTGATACATAATTAGAGACAAGTCTCCCAGAGAGAGGGGAAGAGTGTGAATTACAGTTGATAGATTTCTTCTGGTTCCAAACGATTGCCATCGTTGAGAATGGTAAAGCTCACGTTGACCCGCAATCCTTGATTTGATGGGACAGACAAAGAGGATAGATGTCTCATTAAGTGATTAGCGCGTAGCAATTCCGGAAGACGTATATCGTAGCTTTGATTCGGCGTAAGCAATCGGTCCCAATAATTGCAGAGAAATTCAAGATCGTGCCGAGTTCTCCGATAAAGATTGTCCGTTGGTTGCAAATAGCTCGGTCGTTTCGGCATTTTTACGTTTCGGTAGAGTAACTGAGAATTTCGAGAGATTCGCGTTGGCCTAAAAATATGTGATTGTAGGTTGTGAGTTTTTTTTTCGCTTAGATCGTTATTTGTTCTCCCGGCCACATCGATCACGCGACTCCATCTTTCTGTAACTTGAAATTATTTCTTTGCATGACTGACAATTGCTGCGTTCTACTTGGCGCTCACACAATATTCTTGGAATTATTTCATCCTTGTTGTTTATCGAATATTAAACAAGGACGAATGATAGTCACAAGTGTGATGTGAATGCCAAGTAGAACGCATCCTTAATATGCAACTATATTTTATTTTTATCCTGCTTATATATACTTTTTTTTTGAAAATTTTTATTCTTCTTTTCTCTTTCAGAGTCGCTATTTGATAAGGATAGATATCTTTTACTAGAAATAGCCAAATATAAAAGTAACAATAATGAATTATTTTTTATAAGATATAAAGTTTAGATACGATAATATTGCTTCTCGTAAAAATTGTACACTGAAGTAGCATAATGTATTATGTCTTGAATTATTGTCGTTCATCTTGTTTATTGTCGTTCTCTGATTGAAGTTTATATAATTTTTTTTCGTTTCTTGGCAAGTAATAGATATGAAATAAACTATCAACGAAATGTATAATGAAACTCGTTAGTTTGGAATATCAATAAACGTTCGGCGATTTTATCGATACTTTTTTACGACATGTTGGATCATAGAAATGGAAATGCGATTGAGATTTATACCGCGACCGCGTGAACATCATTTGCTGCTTCCTGTGTATATTTTCGCAACGGCGCGAACGGTTTGATTAATGGTTACACATACAGACATATAATGTATTCGCGATGAACGAATTATAAAACTGTTGTATGTGTACTGTATTTTTGTTACAGTTGTTTTTTTCTAATTTATAAAAAAATTGTTATGATTTCTTTTATTTTATATTTAAAAAATCCAGTAAAAACAATATAGAGCATTAATAGATTCATTCAAGATTGTTATTATTTAACTGCTCAATAAACTCTTGTATCTGTAATTGGTCTACTCTATTTTACTCTAGATTGAAAAAAAATATATACACCAAAGAGATGCAAGATCTTACTGAGCACACAGTAAGCGATTGTAGTACTGAATCTATTGTTTTGAATTATCAATATTAATTCTGTTGCTTGCAATTTTTGTACTTATTAGTATCTTCAATTTCTTTCTAATGTCAGAATATATTTTTTTCATTTTAGTACAACAATTTTTGAGGATTTCAAGGAACGCAAACAGATCTATTGAAAGTAGAAAATAGGGACTAGAGTATAATAGAGCCAATTCTAAAAGGTGCGACTTTTATGTTGTATCGATCTCTTGAGTTAGAATTGGCCACTATTGTATGCCAGTATTGATAATTTGGAGTTGCTATTTAATATTAGCTATTGACGAAGGAGCCAATATTTGTAATTTATGAAACTGTCAATTAAGGCGCTGCCAATATTGATTATTCATGTCGTGCCAAAGCACTACCAATATTGACATTTCATATTACAATGCGTTACTAATATCGGATATTGATGAAAATGCCAGACAATTCCAATAGTGGCTGCTTATTGAATGCCAATGTATTGCCAATGTATCATCAATATTGTCAATTCATGGGTTCTACCAATGGATTACCAATATTGGCTATTCATGAAATGCTAATGCGCTGCTTATATTGTACGCCCATGATGATGCTAATGGGGATGCTTTCATTTGATGACACAAGTCGACACAAACGTATATCATTCTTGGCATTCAATAAATAACAAGGACAGAATGACTACACCTGTGTTACCAAATGAAAAGTATAAGGTAATATTAAGCTCCGATAGTGGATTTCTCATTTTATATTCATTTTATATTAGCTTATTGTTATTTTTATTTATCCTATTATTTTGTTTTATTTTATTACTTTGAACATATCTTAACTTTGATAGGAAAAGAGTATATAAATAATAAATCATAAATTAATTCTATGTTTAAATTCTATCGCTTTCTATATGTTTTATGTACTCAATGAAAATTTTTATAAAAGAATAATTTTCGCGTTATTGTTTCTTTTACCAAAAGCTTGAAAAAAATTGCTCATATAATTATACAGATATGTACGTAAATTATGTATATAATTGCATATAAGCACTTTACTTATTTCTTCAAACTTGATTTTTTTCTAAAAGAAACAATGCGGAAATTATCCTGTTAATTATTTCTTATGATGATATATTATCTTATTATTACTTTTTTCTTTGTATCAAACTAATCAAACAGAAAATTTTAATTTACAGAACAATTGTTCTGTAACATAATTTATGCAGGGTATAATAATATAGATATCTATCTATATATTTCGTAAGTAATTATATATTTACATTTTTATATGAAAAATTTGTTATCAAGATATTATTAAAGAAAATTTTTGTGTGCTAAAATTTAATATATAAATATAGATAAAAATTTCCGATACGAAAAAGTTGTATTTATATTTTCATAAAAATACGAAGGGCAATATTTTTATGTAAACAAAGAGCGGAATTTTCGAAAGCTCACATCAAAATTGCGTGTCGCATTTTAAGATCATACTAGTTTTTTCATTACGCCTCCGACAACTCGATAAGTCCTAGGTTGACAGCCACTGCTCGAAGGAACGCCACCATGTTACGTGGACGTGGACGCGCTATGATAAAAAATATTGAAGTCGACGATGGCACTTGATGGCGCTATTCGAGCAGACAGAAATATTGAGAAATATAACAGAACGGTAAGAGTCAAGACGTCATCATCATGTTTATTTCACGTGTTTAGCAAGATTAAGGTGGCACAGTCGTATTTGAAGTGACTCCGGAATGTGTGATGTGCCGTGTATTACAATCGATAAGATACGCGAGCTTTCAACTATCATACGCCGCCAGCTTGACGCCGCGATGTAAACATAACCTTAACTCTAACCTAAAGACGCAATCGCAGCTTCCCACCGCTGGCACCGTTCTTTTTTTTCGTGAGTATCCGGGAAATTCTAATTTTTAACTCGAATCTAATCTAACTTCATTCTTGTCTCAATTATGTGACAGATTTTACAGACTCGTACTTTCGTATTTAAGATGCTCGCGAAGGTGTATGTAACATAAATCCCCTAATTTCTGCATTACGTATATGTCTGTGTGCTGACGGGTGTTATTAATGAGTTTTCTTAATTGATCGAAATTTAATTTTTACTTTTTCCATTCCTTTCTTGTTATGACATTAAGGTATTTGTTGCGAAATGTACACATGACTGTCATTGGCGTTGCTGCGCATACAATGCGATTTGCTGCGCATTTGTGCGAACATCGCAGAACGTCGGAGTCGCGGCACGTCAGCTCCAAAGTTGACTTTTTGCGTTGCGTTCCATGCCGTAGTTAGGATACTCGTGTGGAAACAGATTTGTATCAATTTCAATTGGTAACAAGCAGTGTTTTTGTCGAAAACGTCCTTGTTATGTTCTTAAATAATGTACATACATACGATGTAGATTACGTGAATTATATTCTTAGCTGTAATTAATCAGCTTTTTTTCTCGAGCTTCACTTTGACTCATTCTATGATGTATTAATGAGAGACAAATAATGCACGGAGAAATGTATCAATAAGAAGGATTTAAAAGAATCATATTATTATCTAGGTAGAAGTGCTGCTTTTTGTAATATTTCTTTTTTGAATTACTTTCTCTTTTTAATGTTTGTGTCTTGTTTTTGTACCACTAGATTGTAAAACTCAAGGTTAAATAAGTGTGAAATTATTGTGTGAGTTGACACTATTATTTATGTTAATTTTATTTGTGACTATTTTAAACAGTTGGTCCTTTAACTTTCGTTTAGAAGCATGTGACTCTAAAGATGAGAAACAGTTTTCATTTGTAAGATGATAATTGTTTGTAATTTTGTAAATGTTAATAAATATTAGGTGTGTAATTTTGGTTTGTACTTTATTAACACATTTTAGCTGTGATAGAAATATTTAAGAAAGTATACTAGGTTTAAATTGTTATGACAATTTGTTTAGGATATATGATACTTTGAGTGCCTCTTGATCAACTCATTAAAATGGAAGATGAAGAGTGCTTTCAGCCAATCTTGAGCTCACAGGAGGAAGATAATTTCCAACAATTAAACACTGTGTCGATCGTGTCGATTCCACTTTTACTTGGAGTAGGTATATTTTGATTAGTGCAATCTATCTTTAGATTTTTATAACTAAAGGTCAATCTAGATACATTGGAACAATTTTTGTATCGTAGGTTTCTTTGGAAATCACTGGGATTGTGTTTGTGTCTATTTGGTCAAAGGAACAGAGCAAATGTGACACATATTTTATATACTTGTACCTTCACTGCGCCTATTGGTTAATAGTCATGGCAATAGATCATGTCGTCAAGGCAAGACACCATAATTTGCGTATTAATGGATACCTAGATTTCTATCAATCAACATATCAACTTATAAGGACGCCTCTTTTTATCGCGTCGTTGTGGAATACATGCTACTTGTTGATAGCTGTTATTTTACATCACACACATAAAGTTGATTACGAGCGGTATTGCAGGAAGTCAGAGTGGTTAACGCCACTAAACTATATTTTTCTCCTAACCACTTTAGAACTAGTAATAATCATACCGGCTTATATTAATTATATCAGTAAGTATCTTGTAAAGATAGAATGTCTGTGTGTGAGTGTGTGTCTAGCGAAGTGTCTAGAAAAAATTAATTAGCTCGATAGAAAAAATAGTTTTTTTAGAAAAATAATTTTCTTGGGCTTTTATATAATATTAAAGACAACATTTACATAAAGCAAAATATAAAAGTCATTAAATATAATTTTGAGATTTTATCATTAAGATTTCTTTCTCAGAGAAGGAAGATATTTTATTTGAGGATTAAGATATTTAGAGTATGAACGTTAAGTAATAACATTAACTGCACTAACATACTAAAACTCTCAAAAGTCATTATCTTTTATTGCAATCTACCAATATTTGTTTCTCATGTAGAGAGAGTTATGAAGTTTAATCGATTACGTCCATCGCCCGACGTCACTCGCGACGAATGGCTGTCGTCCTTTACACAGGATTCCTACTCTGGAATGGGGGAAATCGGATATCGGCAAAGGGGGAAGAATTTAGAGGAACTGCTGGAAAAGCAAGCAGACTTGATAAGATATCTGAAGGATCACAATGTAAAGCTAAGTCATAGAATAATGCTATTAGCGTCTCAACCCAGAGTGACACAGGCATAAAGCAAAAGTGATTGCGTATCTTTTTTATAAAATTGACGCTTATTATTGTTTATAATCGTGATGTTATATCGGAGATTAGAATTTTCATTTTCCAAATGTGATATATATGATATTTTAATGAGCTCGATTGATTTTTCAAAATGTTACGATTGTCACAATCAGAAATAATGATAATTTTTGTCCATCAATACATTTAGTTATGATGACTGTAAGATCGATATATCTTTATAGCCATAATCGTTAGGATAATCTTATGGTTATTATAATCATATTATAATTCTTATAATCAAAAAATGTATTAATGGACGACTTTTTGATCATGACAACAATAACTGTTTTTTCGTGAATGCATAATTATAACTAAATTTCAGTATATAATATATAATAAATGTACATATATTTAGAAAAGTTATTATTATTATTGCATAAGTTTGCTAAAAACTATCTCTCACATATTTCACAACTGTTTAATCAGTCATTATGGTTGGTAAAAGAAATGTTTCAAATATGTTTTTTGTAATACAGTTTATTAAAAGCATGTTTGAAACATCGAAAACATGTGTAAAAAAATGTTTTATTCTTTTAAAATAAAACGTTATTTTTTTAACCCTGTTAGTCATAAGTTCTTTCTATTTCATGTTTTTGAGACACATCTCTATCTATTGCATGAGATGTATTACTTTTGTATGCTCACTCATACACTTTTTATTGTATAGATAGATTTATTGTTGTAAATATATAATAGATTTGAGATAAAAAAATGTCATTATTTAATACTTATTGTATAATAAAGTGTTACCAAATGATTTATTAGAATCAATGATATATTAAGAATAATTCTGTTTAAATGTAAGAACATTTGTTAATACACTGCCGGAAATTGAAATCCCAACACCATGAAGGAGTTGTGCTAGATGAATAAAAGTTACACAGAATGTTTGTTTACATGAGTTATTATATCTATTACACACACACACACACACACACACACAAGGTTACAATTCGCAGGATACGAGTGTAGCATTAGACGAATTCGGAATAAAATTTTCCATTAGACACGTGTGAAGCTATTCATAAGCGTTAATACTGTGAAAGGCTGTGATAACGTGTGATAAAATTATACAGAATGCCTCGAAGGCGACAACGAATTGTATATCAACAATTAAACCATTTTGAACGAGGCCGTATAATAGGCTTTCGAGAGGGTGGATATCATTTCGTGATATCGCGGCAAGAATGGATCGAGACGTCTCTATCGTGTACATTTATTGGCAGCAATGCTCCCGGGAAGGCACTGCTACCAGGAGACCGGGATCCGGAGCCTCCTAATCAACTGAATTCATCTAGCATAACTCCTTCTTGGTGTTGGGATTTCAATTTCCGGCAATGTATGTCAATGATAAAATATTTTACATGCTTGAAGAAAAGAAGGTATTACTACAAAAAAAAAAATGCAACTATACGTTCATTGTCAACTCAATAAAATATATGTATATTTTTTCAGTAGCAACCATCATTTTACATACATTATTATTTCGCATACATGGGGCTATATAAATAATTAGTCAAGCAGCGGTTTCTCTTAATAAAACTCAACAGCGTGTTGTCGTATCTCACACGTTACGATTACATCGAAAATTTACATATAAATCTCGATTATGATTACATTTACTCGGCGTGATATAATATTACATTGCATTTTCTTGAGTCTCAAAAAGCAGCCATTTTCCATTGTAGCGGTAGAAAGCGAAACCGAGCTAAAATATCGAGCTAAATTATGGAGCCGTGTTTTTCCTGCTCGCAATATTTACTCGCGCCGAAATCAGAATCGCATCTTTCTTTTCTCAGCGTTTCATTACAAACTTGATAAATGTATATATCATATACAGCCGCCTCTATAACATGCAGTCGTACGAATAATATAGTATAAGTAAAAACTACATATGTGGTGACATAGGTTTATACGTATCTGTAGTTCTCTTAACGTAATATTACAGTAACGTCCATAGGAATCTCGCAGCAGCAAAAATAATGCAGATTTTTCGTTCGCATTCGTTCCATACGCTACTCCGCAGTCTTCCCGAGTATGTTGGAGAAATTATTGCCTCGCAATATCACTTTCAGTCGCGAAATTTCCTTTAAAGCATCTTACGTTTCTGAGCAGCTAAAATCATTCCTGTCTATTTCTTACATATTCTAGAACTGTCTTCTTAATCTAATCACAATGCGCCAGTCGATGATACAGCGATCAAGATATCTTTTCTGAAGTTTCTTTATCGCATCTGTTTTCAAGAGAAACTAAAATTATAAAATTATTCACATATATTACTTATTTCTAGAGTGTAATCCATGTTCTATCTTTTTAAATGTCTCGGAAGTACAAAGCTTTATGAGAAGATTTAGTCGTTTATTTTCCTACATAACTGTACTGGAAAAACACAATGTGAGCGATCGTTATTTCAGTCGGTGAGAGAAGCGAGAGAACGACTGACAATTCAGTTCGAATTGGCGATTTATCTTATGACGTCTTACGAATTAAACGAGGAAAAGATGTCCTGATTGTCGATTGGCGTAGGCTGGCACAATGTGCAATAATAGACATCTTTACACTAGGGCTATATTATTTAACACAGGTCTACTTATGTGTCTCTTTAAGTATGTATATATAAGTCTATATAAATGCCTAATAATACCTATGTCATCTGGATGCGGGTCTGACGCAGCACGTGTAGAAAATTAGCAGAGTGCCGTCGAGACTTAAGTTCATTTTATACAAACTCTCTAATGTTAAGAGTAAAATATGACGAAATATTAAGTAGCATCATTTCCGCGTCTTTTCTTTTAGTTCTAGCGATTCCTCTCGAGCTTCGTAAGGCAAACCCGAATGTACCGATTAAACGCGCTAACGTTTTGTGTCTTTTTCTTACAGTTGTAATTACAATCTAATTGTAAAATTAGTGCTATAATCGTTAATGTTTTCTTGTTCGTGCACATGTTTCTTATAAACATTCTTTTATTAATGTAATATCGATATTGTTAATACATCTTGTAATCTTTTACTGGTAATATTAACTATTCAAAGTTAGATTAGCGATTTGAAATGAAATTTTTGAAATATTATTCAAGAAAAAAGATATGTCTTTTACATTTAATAGTTCCGCAATTCTATTCACGTAATCGTGACTGAGAGCTGAGACTGCGTCACCGAAAGAGGTACAGAAAGTCGCTAATCAGGATTAATTGGTGACAATCGATCGGTACGGCCGGGCCTCGTTATACATGTGTAATGGAAAGAAACCTATTTACAAAAGAGCCACGTCCTCTCCGTCAGACCGGACAGATTCGCCTTTATCGTACACGTATATTTACGATATTACAAAACTAGCTTACACTTATATGGAACACTCAACTCTACAACACTATATAAAACGTAGAAGCTTGTACACCCCGTTGTGTCTCGAGAGTAGGCTACGTGTGTTCGTGTACGACACCATATCCACTCCAGCACCTGCGTTTCCACTGTGAAACGACGGCGCGATTGTCTCTCGCCGCCGTATCCGAATCTCGTCAAGTTATATTGGAAACTCTTTCTTTCTCTTTCTCTCGGCCCACTCGCATCTCTTTTTTCATTTTTTTTTCTTTTATTAAGACTTCACTGCAAAATTTGTACTACGCTTAGGCCAGCCGTTGCTGCTGAGCTAGTTCGAACGGGCGGGAGTTCCCTGTTCCACGCGTTGTGAACAATACGCAACCGCGGCTTTCGCGCACGTTCCCCATAAAAGTGTTCCTCATTATTGTCGTGTCTAGTGTTTTTTTTTTATTCAGACTTTGTTGCAAACAAGGGTTAAATAAGGACGATCCCTGTCGCGGGAGACTGATTACGGTATTTTTCGTATGTCGATCCTGCCAGTCGGGTTTTAATTCAATCTTGTGTAATCAGATGACGCATGACGTACAGGAAGGCTTCGAATATGTTACGTATTACGTTGGTGGAATTTAATGCGCTCGATGGCGCATCTAGAATTTTTCAAACGGTACAGATATACTTTGTTCAATCACAAATAAAATTGCGAAAACTCAGATAGCACGAAGTCTAAAATCGGAGCATATAAAACGTTTCAGGTCGCACAATGGAAGAAATATCAGGAATAGGATTAAATATTAGGGACATATAATAAATTAGGAATATAGAGATTAAATGTAACGCACTATGGATACAAATCATATCGTATTCGTATACATATTGTGCGTTACGTTCAATCTTTATTCTTAATTTTTTATTTCTTTAATATTTAATATTTATTCCTGTTCCTAATATTTTTTCATTTGTGCGCGTTTACTGCCTGTTTGTAGTTTAATTTTAATCTCGGTTCACACAATTAACTCTTAATCTTTTTCGGATTCTAAGAATTATAAAAAGATGAAGAGTAAGTTGAGAATCGGGATTAAAGTTAATCTATATTAGTAGAAACGAACATAAAAGACGTCTTATATCTAGACATTGGATTTTGTGTTGTTTGAGATATCACTTATAATATAACACCACATATTGCAATAATAAATGCGCGTTTATCATATGTATAAACTTCGTAAAATAAATTTTATTTATTTTATTAGGCTTTTAATTTGAATTTTTATAAACATGCAACATAATTATTTTATATATTTAATTGACATAAAATAATAAACAATGTGAAATTTAAACTTTCGAAATTTCTTTCAGAAGTTTATCTCCAATTTGATTTCAGTCTTTATGTCAATTATATCAAAACGATCTGATCAAATTAATCTGGAAATCAGAGAGTATAGTAAAAGAAAACTATAACGTAATACATGAAAAAAACAAAAAAGAAAATAGAAAGTAAAAGAAGTCCTCTCGAGTCCAGATTTTCCTTCTCTTATAACAATTAACTCTCGGATGTACTATTTACTTTCCATAAACGTGTGTCCCATGTATACCTGAATATTTCGGAGGCGCATCCGAGAGTTAATAATCCAAACGTTCAGTGATGTTCGCATCATCCGCATCTCGTCTGCGAATCGCAACGGACGACA